TTGGTGTGATGAATTACATTTATTGATTTCTGTATTTTGAACCAACCTTGCATCCTGGGGATGAATCCCACTTGATCATGGTGCATGATATTTTTGATATGTTTTTGTATTCGATTTGCCAGAATTTTTTTTGAGGATTTTTGCATTTATATTCATTAGAGATATTGGTCTGAAGTTTTCTTTCTTTGAAGTGTCTTTGCCTGGTTTGGGGATCAGGGTGATATTGGCCTCGTGGAATGAATTTGGAAGTACTCCCTCTTTTTCTATTGCCAGAAATAGGTTGAAGAGTATTGGTATTACTTCTTTAAAGGTCTAGTAAAACTTGGCTGCATATCCATCCAGTACTTGGCTTTTTTGGTTGGGAATCTTCTGATGGCTTCTTCTATTCCCTCACTTGATATTGGTCTGTTTAAGTCAGGAAAAAACAACACAACTCAATCTGGGCAGATCACATGACTTAAGGAATTTATTGATGCCTTCACTATCTTCTATGCTATTAGAAAATATGGTAAAAAAATAAACTCTAATTATCGTTTGTATTTCTGTAGTGTCTGCTGTGATATTGCCTTTTTTATGACTTCTGGTAATTTGATTTCTCTCTGTCTCTTTGTTAGCATGGCTAAGGGTCTGTCAATTTTATTTTTTTTCAAAGAACCAACTTTTAGTTTTCTCAATTTTTTAAATTGTTTCTTTTGTTTTAATTTAATTGGTTTTAGCTTTTTTTTCTTGTTTTCTACTGTTTTACTGCTGATTTTTTTCTTTTTCTAGGGCTTTGAGATGTAATGTGAGGTCATTTATTTGTTGGCTCTTTCTATTAAGGAATGAACTCCATGCAATGGATTTTCCTTAGTGCTGCTGTCATAGTGTCCCAGAGATTTCAATATGTTGTGTCTGTATTTTCATTTATAAGAATTTTTTAATCCCCTCCTTTAGGGAGTACTGCAACTCTACAAGATGAAATGTTAAAGTTGTACAAACTAGGGATATCTGGGCATTGTTTTAGTATTCCTATGTCCTTCCTGTACCTTAATTTTTGCAAATTACAAACAACAATATATAATTTACATAAATATTCCCCAAATAGAACTTGACTAAACATATGAAATAATCCATGGAGACGATGTAGCATTATTTACCCAATAGAATGTTTTGCTATATTTGATCCATTAGCAAAGTGAATAATGGGAGGTATGTGACCTAATAATATCAACATAGTCATGACTTTGATAACATTAAGAAATTCACTTTATTTAGTAACAAATTGCATCCGTAAGGCAAATAAGTAAAAAATCCTCTGTAAAACGGGCATGGTGGTCCATGTCTGTGACCCTAGGGACGTGAGAAGCTTTGAAAGTTAAAAACCATACCTTGGTGAGGCCCTAATCAACTTAGCAAACCGTATCTTTAAATAAAAATGAAAAAAAAAATCTGGGGATGCAGTTTACTGATTAAGTGTCCTTAAGTTTAAGTACAAAAATAAAAACTAAAAATTTAAATTTCATATAAACCTTAAGAGACTTCTGCAATAATCAACAATGAGAATTATGTTTACTCCAGCTGTGAAAACTGAGAATATGTAGTAATTTTTTGATTTATAGTAAAATTATATCCTTTTAGGGATGCACTATTCTATATTTGTATTTCCTCATTTCTACAATATCAGCTAAAGATGTTAAGAAAATTTTCAGCCAATGTCAAAAGCAATTACCCATTTTCTACATTTAAATGATTTTTTCCCTCCTAGGTCCCAAATACTTCAAGGAATGGGCTATAGATAAGTATAAAAATTTGTAGTAAATTTCTTGTCAAGGTGTTTTTGTAAATATTTTGCTGTTATCTAAGGTACATACTTTGGACAAATGGTATTCCACATTTTCTACAGGTATGAGGTAAGAAACTGAAAAATGTCTGAAATTTGAATACAGTCTTGGACACATACTTTGGAGGATTTATACCATATAGAAACCCAGTGTTTCAAAAATGTTTGATCAATGTCCAAAAGCTTTGCAAAAATTTTTCCACATGTCCTCTTACTTGTATGAATTCTGAGGTTTTGAGTAGGGTGTGAACAACTGTTGGAGACTGACACCTATTTTACACTTGTATAATTTCTGTGCTATCATCTCTCTGGTGTGAAATAGTGTTGAATCAACCATTATTTCACAGTAGTTCATCGTTAAAGACACGGATGCAATGTTTTCCTTGTAAAACTTCTCTCCAGTATACTCTATAATGTTACTAAGATGTGATCTTCAATTTTAAAAGGTTTGCCATTCTTCACATTTATAGGACTTCTCTCTAGGATGGGTTTTCTGGTGTCGAGTAAGTGATGATTGTTGATGAAAATCCTTGCCACATTCTTCACATTTGTATGGCTTCTTACCAGTATGAATCCTCTTGTGGCAACTAAGACGTGAGATGCTATTAAAAGCTTTGCCACACTCTTCACATTTGTAGGGCTTCTCTCCAGTGTGGATTCGCTGGTGCTGAGTAAGTGATGATGATTGATTAAAACTCTTGTCACACAACTTACATTTGTAGGGCTTCTCTCCAGTATGAATCCTGTTGTGGAAATCAAGATTTGAGTTTCTATTAAAACTCATGCCACACACTTTACATTTGTAGGGCTTCTCTCCAATATGAATTCTCTGGTGATTTTTAAGGCTTGGTTTTTGACTGAAAGCTTCGCAAAATTGTTTACATATGTGGGGCATCTCTCCAGTGTATGTCCACTAGTGACAAATAAGATTGGAGCTTTTATTTGAAGTTTTTTCACATTCTTTACATGGCATATCTCCTGTATGAACACTGTGATGTTGAATGAAGTTCTTCAGTGTGTTGCATTCTTCACATTGGTAGGTCTTCGCTGCAGAATAAATTTTTTGGTGTTGAGTAAGAGTTGAACAATCTTTTAAGGCTTTGCTAGACTTTTTACATTTACATGTCTTCAGTATAAAACTACTGAAGTTTAACAAGTTGTAACCTTTCACTAAAGGTTATTCTGATTTCTTTTAAATTTGTAGGGTTTATCACTGTCAAAGTATCTGCTGTGTTTAAGGAATATATGAAAGCATCGGCTTGCTCAACATCTT